AAAAAAAACTTTAATTTTGATTTCACAGGGACTTTAAGTCACCCTGTAATGAAAGAATGATAAGACAATCTAATTTATTTTTCCAATAAATAATTTTGCGCCAGCACAATTGAGCAAAGTTATTAACTGGTCATGGATTAAAAATCGAACTGTCAAAATACCAATGACCCAAGTTATATTAAAAAACAGTGTAAAATGTACACAGTAATGTACTCCTAGCATATAATATGAATGCAATATTTAATAAACTACTTTTGCCTTTTGACACTTGAAAGTGTTGCTGTAAGTTGATCTTCATGGCTATTGTTACTCGCATGCCTTTAATTATTAACTGCTTATTCATCGTTCTTTCTTTCACTTTGAGTTACACATTTTCAATCACATCAGTGCAAATGGTTCAAGCCTAAAACAAGCCAACCCTCTGGGTTTAAAAATAGAATGCATGGGCTCCCCATTGAGAACTGCAGTCCATGTTGACACAGCCACAGGTAGCTGCTAGATGGATTAGCTAGGATCTATTTCTGTTGTTTATCAAGTACTGGTCCCTCTCTTGCCATTTCAAAACCATGGGTATCCACATTGCCTTTATTCCACAGTGATAATAAACTAATGATGTATCTGTGGTACATATGTTTTGAACCATAATGTCTGTGAGATAAGCACAAAAATGTGAAATTTGAAATGTTGGGTTGAATGTATAATAGCAGAATTATAGATGAAAGGTAATTGCCTAGAGTGGGAGGTCATGGGATAATTAAAGTCACAGAGTGTCCGCCAATACTCATTGGAGTTTGCAATAAGCTGGGATGGGAAGGGAAACTATTTCATGAAGGTGACATTTATCATGAAGCTTATACTAGATGCTGATGGTTGCCAAACATTTCATTCCTAGGTGTGTCACTCAAAAGCCTTCAAAAGAAAGTCTGTTCAGTCATGATAAACTATCATTAAGAGCATATTGTTATGGAGACGTCCTGTTATGAGTCTAGAGCAGTGGTTATCACCCTTTTTGTCTCCTTTAACTTTGTTTAAAAAAAAATAAATAAATAAAAAAGATTGTTAATGTGACTACATATATTTTAAGAATGATTGGGGCCCTATTTGGCCCTAGCACCTGGTAGAGAGCCACTGGTATACAGCCTTTGAAATACACTGAAGAGATTTAAAAAGGGAAGAGAAAGTGTGAAGAGAAAGTGTCTGCAGATTAATTTTATGGCTACCACTAAACTCCATTGCTTAATACTGAAAAGTCATGCAACAGCATTGTTAGAATGTTGTAGGTCTTAGCGAATATCACTGCAGTGGACTGTCAAACAGGTGCTATCACATTATGGCAATCTTTTAATTCCTGTTTAGGCAGGGTTATTCTGTGCACTTTTGGAGAAAAGCCCTTTAGTCCACTGCCATTATTCTATCACATTTGCTTAGATAGGCCAGGAATTGATATTTTGGTTTAAAAGAAGGTCGTTTTTAATATTTTGCCAATAAGAAATTCAAGAAAAGTGCACATAATAGTCACACGCTTTGAATGCTTTCCATACAGTAGGCTTAAAAAAACAGCAGCTGTACCATGCAGAACTTTTTATAAGAACATTGTGACAATATATTATGGAACTGCTCATTCAAATCAACTGACACTGCCCATTTTTTTCAATATATGTTGTTCAAATTACTACAGATTAATTGTTCAAATGATAACAGAACAAGAATCAGAGGTGCAGGAGTTCAAATCATAGAAAATACATAATCACAGAAAACCCAGCACACATAGGGTCAAACTTCAGAACGGAAAGGTAACATTCCCTCAACCAACAACTCAAAAACAACACCGATTAAAAGTCTCTCCTGACTGACAAAAATCTGTTATATACACAACTGTCAAATAGAAATAAGAACAAAAACACTGGCATACCTGCCTTTATAGTTGGCTCTGGCATCCTGGTTGAGTGTCCCTATTGGGTTCCAACAGGCATTGTGGACACCAACACCAACACTTCTCTTTTAATAGATACCCCCCGCCCCACACACCCCAAATGTCACACAGTACATGCCCCAAACCATCCTGCCCACCCCTTCAGCCATCTACCACCATGATTGAGCACACCATCCATCACTTTCATTGGTTAACAGAACTAAAGAAAATAAAGAAGCTATAGGATGAAGGATAAGGGAGCAGGTACCGGATGGGTAAATTTAGAGTCTGGCTGTAGCTAATCATCTTCAGATGTTCCCTCCCAACCATACTGCTCAAAGAAAGGGCTCAAACACTTTTTTTGTTTGTTTGTAATATTTTTTCTTATATTCTTGAACAACCTCTGACATTGCTGGACCTCCAGGAAGCCACAGCTTTTACATCTGCAGCTTTGTATTCTGTGCTTGTCAACAAATAAAGAATAGGTTTAGGATGAGCCCCTACTTTCCCAACATAAATTACATAAGGTGTGTATACATTTAGTTAAGTGGATTTAATTGTATCAATTTCTATCTAGAATTAAACAAAGAGATGATATTGTTACTTCATAATGGAGGGAGTGTTCTTGCTAATGACAATAGAAGCCCCAAGAAAAGATTGTATTGGACAAATTAGGCCCAAAGAGACTGACATCTATTACGAAAAAAACAGTAGGCCTACTTCCCCACAAGTGCAGGACCCCTTTCCTCATGCCATCAGTCAAGCATTGCTAAGTTTGACATTTCTGTCAAGAGTCTAATGATAATGATGCTTGTCTAGTGCACACGCTCATGTAACAGTGCCTGAATTCATCCTGTGAGTTAAGTTCATTCTTTGGGGTCTATTGTTTCAAACTGTTATTTACTTTAATGAAAAGCCTGAAATGATTTTTAAATCAAACAACTAACTTTTTTAACAAACTGGCCCTAAAAGCATGAATGGACTAACATTTCATGTCTTTTTCAATATCTCCTAAAGATTGTTTTATAGGGGATTAATATACGTAACTTTACAACTGTTTTCACTTTCTCTCATGCTTATGTCCACCTTTTGACCCTGAGACATAAAGGACACAACTGAACATCA